ACATAAACTGGCAAGTTTTAGAAAAGGAACCAAAATTAACAATAGTCACATAAAATAAAAAAATATACTCCCTCTCAAATAATAGATAGAAAAATGAAGATAAACAACCCAATAAAAAAATGGTAAAAAACATAAACTGGCAAGTTTTAGAAAAGGAACCAAAATTAACAATAGTAACATAAAATAAAAAAATATAGAAGAGGAGTACTTATTCCACAAAAGGTAAAATAAATAATTTTTTTTCAGTCAATAGTGATTCAGGAGGTGAATCAGGTTCCTGTGGAAGCTCTGTGAACATCATTACAAGAATAAATCATCAATGAACCAGTGAAGTCCAGAACTGAGGATTAATATAGGATGGAAAGAGATTTTCCTCTAAATATATCACTTCATATGTACTTACTCTATGAGTTCTAAAAGCAACAATCTTCTAAATAAAACTTAATATAGAAATTGAGTGACCAGAGACCACCTTAGATCAAATCATGGAAGGATTTAAATGATATCTAGTCCAGGTCCCCATCTTATATAGGAATCCATGGCACATGATCATTTTGGCCTTTCACAAACACTCACTGTGATAGCAGCAACACTGCTCACAGATTTTTGGGAAGCTATGTTAGAAAGTTCATCTTTTTAAGAAAGGTAAAAATGCTTAATTTTTTAGATTTTTCAGTACATTCATCTTAGTTTTGTTCTGTGGACTATAACAAGATAGTCAGAATTCTTTTTCTTACTTGATAGCTTTTCAGTATTTAATAACATTTCATTTCCTTACTTTTCCAAGTTGAATCTTTCCACTGAATTTCATAGAATATATCTACAATATACATCAATCTCTCTTTCTTTTTCTTCTGGATTTATTATTCCTTGCTACAATTACAATCTGCCAAGCTCCACCTCAGAAGTAGTTCTTAAAATTGAATATAACATTTAAGATGTGGTAATCATTGCAAACTATAATAGGACAATCGCCTCCCTTAGTAAGACACTACTATTAGTCCAATTTAACAATGCATTAACTTTGAAGTCACCTTCTATTACAAATACCAAGTTTATTGCCAACAAAACCACAGTCATTACTTGTGAGTAGATTTCTTGGGCCCAAAGCCCGAACTTTACATTTGTATCTATGGCTCTAAGGTAGTATCATCAAATATGTTGACATGAATTCCTATATTTGAGCCTTGGGTGTGTTATCTTGAAAAAACGTCAAGATACTCTATTTGCCCTCCTACTTAACTCATATTCTTCAGTATCACAGCATTCCTCAGTTATTCAGTATTGAGCTATGTTGACTTACAAGTAAATGTTCACATTAGCCTATCTCGAGATGTCAGTTATTAATATTCAAGGATCCCAATGAAAATGCTGTCTTATATGGCACTTCACATTTAAGAAACTTTGCCTGAGACTTCTATTTCTCTTGTTTACTTTTAAGCAAGTTTTTAGAGAAAAATTTTATAGTGCAGAACATCTCCCTAAGAGCATTTCTTGGTAGCTGATCAAGCAATAGGATTAAGTGGCAAAATGCCAGCAATGGCATGCTCAATTCCATCTTTCAGCCAGGACAATGTAAGACAACAAACCCTTAGACTAATACGCATGTGCAGCACATATACATACATACATACATACATACTGCACACGAAATGTGCATGTAAGCTAGAAAAAAGTACGCAGTGGCGTGTGGAAAACAAAAATACACTATTTCAGTCTAGTTAAAATTGTCCTCTATTCAAATTCCTTTCTTGCCTCCTTCCGGACCACAATTTTCTTTCAAGCAAAGACAGTGAGAGAGTTCTGCAAGATTCCAATCTCCCTAAATCCACATCATAGCCTTCAACTGAGGCTCATCAAAGGTTGCAGCTGAGACAGCCTGAGTTATAACCACCTGGCATATCCATCCAACTCCTCCCCAGAAACACGCCCCCCAAATCCGGAGCCAGAGGAGAGCCCTGCCACAGAAGACTTCCACTGAAGGAGGGTAACCCCTGAGAAAAGTACACTCCGGGAACCATTCCTCTCCTCCTGACCCCCCAACACTGGAAAGCGCTCCTAGCGCCGCGCCTTCTTCCGGAGCCTCCTCCCGCAGGCTGGCTAGGGGTGAGCGCCGGGGTTAGTCAGTGCGCACGTGACGCGCGATGCCCACATGACACGACCGACCGTGGGCGGGGGAGGGGAAAGGGGAGTGAAGCAGGGAAAAAGTTACAGAAGACCCGTCAAAGCGCCCAAAGCAATTTGCCCCTTCCCTTCCTCGCCAGCCAGTGGTTCAGGGATCCCTAGGGGACGTCTGGGGACCTAGGCGTCTCTAGCCAGCTCCCCAAACGCTGGACGCAGTTCTTCGCCCATCCCACCACCCTCTGCTCTTCCCAGCCCCGCTGGTGATGCCTCTGCACCCTCAAGTTGCTCCTTCCTCTTTTTTCGTCCTTCCTCCCTCCCTGTCTCTTTCCTTCTGTCCTTCCCCAAAAGCTCTATCATCCACTGCGGGCGATGCCACTGACGCACATTCAATTTGCCCCGGGATCTCTGAGGAGGTCAGACCAGGCCAAACATCTTCCAAAGGGGAGGGTCTAACTGCGCAAACAAAGTTGCACGCCACAGGGCAACCTGCCCCTCCCCTCCCGTGAGCCCCTCAGTCGGATCTTTGGCAAAGCTCACTTGCACTGCCGGACCTCTGTGGACCCCACCCCACAGTCGCGCAACACACCCCTTTCCACACGCGCGCCCACCCTTCCATTGCCCTGCGCCCCGAGCGGTCCCGCTGCCTGGCAAAGCACTGAGCCCCGCTGCGCTCACCTTGCTTGACACACTTGAGCCGGAGGGGGTCCTTGCAGTGTTTGATCACGGCCAGCACGTCCCTGATGGTGAGCCCCGCCACGGGGGTCTCGTTCACCTCCAGCAGCAGCTCCTCCGACACCAACTTGCTGCCGCTCTCATAGACCACCTTGCCGGGCTTCACCTCCCCCAGGTAGGGGAACTGTCCATTCTCGGCGCCCCCCTTCAGTTCAAAGCCCAGCTGGCCCTCCGGGTTCCTGCCAATGACACTCTCATGGACTTTGCTAGTCCAGTGGCTTTTCTTTTTCAAGCTTTTGGACATGGCAGTGGGGTGGCTCGCCTCAGTTTCTAGGGTTCCTTTGGGGTAGGGAGGTTGGTGGTGAGAGAATGAGGATGGAGCAGCAAGGGGGCCAAGGGATGAAAAGAACAGACTTTGCCTTCCTCCTCCCCCCTATTCGGTGCTTTCTCTCTTCTTTGGATGGAGTGTGGACGAGGAAGGGGGAGGATGAGAGGGACGGCTGGGCAGAGGTAGGAGAGCTTGGGTGAGGTTGTGCTGTCCCTTGAATGACACTCAAGGCTGTGGCCCCGCAGCAGAGGAAGCTGTGGCGGTGGCGTCGGCGGCGGCGGCAGCAGCCGGAGCGAGCAGTAGCCGAGCTGGTGAGCGGGTGGAGTGGGGGTGGGGGAGGAGGGTAGGGATGCCGGGGGCCACTCCTGCGTGGTGCGAGTGGGAGCGCGCGCGCGCGCCTGGGTGTGTGTTGTTAGCTGATATCCATGGCAGCTGCAGTGGCACCGGCGGGGTCCGTGTGTGTGTACTAGTTGTACTGTACTGGCAGAAGGGGAGGAGGGCGGGGAGGAGGGAGCAGGCTATAGAGGGAGGAGGGGCGCGCGCGCCGGCTGGGGAGCCAGGGAGGGTTTCGCCGCGGTCTCCCTCCCTCCCTCCGCAGCTTGACCCGGTAGTGAAGGCAGAGAGAGAGGCAGGCTGGGTCCGCCTGGCAGCCTACGGGAGGAGGCGGGAGCCGGGAAGGAGGGAGCCGAGGCCCGGCGTGAGGAGGCCGGCAGGAAGGGCCTCGAGTCCAGTGCGGACCTTGCTTCAGCACGGCCAAGCGGTGCGCTAGGCTGCTGTGCTAGAAGGACCCCGCGACTTCCTCAGACCTGGGCTCGGACGGAGCAGAAATAGCGGGACCGGGACAGCTGGCGCGCTTGGTGTCTGGCGCCACATTTCGAGCGCTCGGAGCCCGTCGGCGCCGGATTCCGCCGTGAGAACGAGCTGGGGTTGGGGGGCCGGCGTGGAATTGCGGGAGAAGGCCCGGGAGCCGGGAAGCTGTGCTGAGGGGAAGAGCTCCTGTGTAGAGAGGTTTCATCTCTTCACTTGTGCAATCACTTGTTCCTCGCAAAGTTCTCAGAATTCCCCTCCGAGAAGGGGAAAGTTGGAGAACTGGAGGCTGGTTACCCTAACTCCCGGGAGAAGGTGAAGCAGCGGTGCCGGCCCCGCCCGCGCTCGGCGGGACAGGGACTTAGCGGAGGGCTGGGGTTGTCTGGTGAACGGCGATTCCAGGGCTCAGGGTAAGGGGCTTCACTTTTCCTCAATAGAAGCGGAAAGAAAGGGGCTATGGGAGTGGGGGTGTTGGAGGGGGAGGTTGCAGCGAGCGTCCTCCTCAGAGAAATGGTCAGTTTAACCCATGACCTTTCGGCGGAGGGAAGGCAGAGGCACGCCCTCGCCAAGAAAACCGCCAGTCAGGTTTGCACCTGGGGAAGACACCTGAGGAAGACCTAGCCTAGCAACCCCCTGCTACAGAGAAAGGGTAGAAGCCTCCGAGGGTGAAAAGAGCGGCGCAATCGGACTGGAATTCAGCTCGCTGGCCCCCAAACAGGGTTCCTTTCCCTTCATCAACTTTGCAGCCTGGAGGAGAGTTAAGGACAAGCACGAGAATACAAGAGGGCTGCTGATTTTCACTGGGACGCTAATTTCCTGTGAGACACTAGGAGTGATTTTTTTTTTTAAATTCCTTTAACTGGTAAATGAATTTCATTTGCTTAACTTTCAAATGATACGTTTCAGACAAAAAAAAAGTTGTACACCCACTCATCTCTTTAAAGCAGAACATGAAAAGCATTGAGCAGTTAGGATTCTTAATGTCTGAGATGAAGGTAGTGTGGGAGGAAAGCAGTGCAGTTGAAAATGTTTAGTCGACCCAAACAGAAAGACCAGGTTTGAATCCAGGCTCTGCAACTTACCAAGAGGGTGACCTTGAGTAAACAGCTTGACCTCTCAGAGCCTCAGTTTTCTTACTTGTTAAATATGGTTAAAAATACCAATCTGATAGGAATGTGGTAAGGATGAAACCAGGTAAAGCATGCAAAGTGCTTGCCTGGCACAGGTGGGTAGGCGTTCAAAATGGTAATTTCCTTCCTTTTTCCCTCTTAAGTATAACTCACTATTTGGGAGAGATGGGGGTGATCAAATTTAGTCAGAACTGGAAGAGATCTTAAAGATAGATGATTTGTTTAACCGTGTGTCTTCTTTTACTTGAGAAAACAGATCCCCAATGAGTTGGCTGCGACTAGTGATGATTATTCAGTGAGCCAGGGGCAGTGCCAGGATCGGAAGCAAGAGCTGCAGGCCGTGCCTAGGAGTAGGCAAGACTTTGTAGCAAAGCCCAATCTCACCCAAAGAAGTTGGATTTTAGCAGAAGGAGGTATGGTCCTAAATGGAAATTGATAGTGAGAACTGAATATGTATTTTTTAACACCAATTACAACCTACCATGCATGGGAAATACTAATATTTATCGAGTTCTAACTACATGCTAGATGTTGTACTATAGGCTATACATATATTTATTTCTCCTGACATCTTAATAAAGTAGGCACTGTTATCTATTTCCTTTATTTACTAATAAAGAGCCTGAGTTACACAAGAAAGAACTTTTGCAATCTAGTCAATGGTGAAGCTAACATTCAGACCCAAGTGATATGGCTTCAGACCTTGTCTCAAGTCACTGCATTGAACTCTCTCCTTATACACCTATGGTATGTCATACCAGCTCTCACTACAGACTGTCCCCAAAGGTTGTGTTTGCTCTTTCTTTCAGGGGCAATTAGGAAAACAAAACAAATGGAGCAGGGGTTTGGCATAAGAGTGTGTTTACCCTCTAGAACCCAGGAGAGTCATGGAGGTATGTGCCAATTAATTTAGTGCTCCTCAGCTGCATATCCACTCTTGTTTGCCCTAAATTGTGATATCAGAGCTGGAATCCGTAAACATTTCTTTATGGTCTGTTAGCTTAATGTCAGGCTTTGTCAGTAGAAGGTTAGAGGAACACTGCAAAAAGAAGAGGTTCCTCTTGTTGGTTTCAGTGCTTTTCTGCTTGCTCCTATGGTATGGGGGTCAGTGAGTGGCTTTATGGCCAGTGGTGTGCAAAAACCAATACTACATACTCTGTAGTAAAGTTGGCCAGTTCCCCAGTGTGTGGTTTCTTAATGAGTCTCACTAGTATGTCAGTGGGCAGCTTCCTAGCAAGTTTTACTGGCAGTGTAGCTGGTGGTTTCTTAACAAGCCCAGTGTGTGACACCTCAACAGATTTCTTAACCATCAAGTGAGCCACAGCCATATTATCTGCAGTGAGGTCTGACTGCCTTGGGAGGGTGAAGGGTGAGTGGGAAAGTTCTAAAATCTTCCACAGCCTGAATGGTAGCAGCTTACTCCTTACATCAGCTATTTCTGTATTCTTTAGTGGTATCTTTTCCTTTCTTATTAGTCAATCCCTTTTTACTACCTAGTTAATAATTTTTTAAAATTAAATTGTTTCTCTTCAAATTATGGTGTGGCTTTGGTCTCCTGACTGGACCTTGACTGGGGTAAAGGGAATCCTGAAGAGAGCACTATCCTGGGAGTCAGAAATTGGGATCCTGACTTTACTTGTGCAACCTTGACCAAGTCAGTTAACTGCTCAGAGCTTATTTCTTCATCTGTAAAAAGGGGGCAAAAATATATATGACAAAATTGTTTGAGCATCATATAAAACATGAATGTATTTCCCATAAAATGCTATCAAAATTAAAGGTATTAATTGTCAGTATGGGAATTGAGGACAGCAAAGAAGAAGGTGAGGATATTCTCTTTAAGAAAAAAATTACATATATTCTAGAGATTTGTTTGATTTTTTCCCTGGGGGGTATAAAACAGAATTTCTTGTCAGACTTACTGTCATAAAAAATATATATTATTCATTGGTTGGTTGGTTGGCTTTGACTAACTTTTCAAAGATGAAAGCAAATGGTTGTGATGAATCTCAGGTTTGTTCAGGTTTCCAGCTCTATGAAAAATATGACTGAAACTATGACCATTTTGAAATGCTAGGTTCAGATTACTTTGGCTTCTTTCTATTATGGTACCCTTCACATTTGCTTCATTTTTCCATTGTCTTTACCCTTTTTGCATTTGATGCTATATCAAGAAAGATTATTTCATCACTGAGTACTCTGTGTGCAGAACATGACACTAAATATTGCATGCTATTTCAAAAGAAAAATTGTTGCAGAATCCTAAAAGCCAAAGAAAGAAAGGTATGAGTGCATTCCATTTCTAGAAGAGTTCTGTGAGGTAGATGCTTGTGGTGGACACAGTCAAATTCCATCCAGATCTCCTAGGATCCCTTTGAATTTGAGTGCCCTTCCCCTCACTTCTGTGATCTTTGGCTTCTCACAGCCTTCCCCAGACACTGTCTTTGGAAGACTGCCCGGCTACTGGACTCACTTTGTCTACAGGCACAGAGAGCCAGAAAGAACCACCTGGGAGCTTATTTCTCTCTCAGGATGCCCTTTGCCAAGGACTGCCCTATACAGTATAAAAGCCCAGCCCTCTTTCCTCTAGAAGCAAGAAAATCTGAGATATAATTTATATCCCAAGGCTCCCCTGAAGGATTATGCTGATGCTAGGATTTGCCTGAAATCACCTTCTTTCCTATCTTGTTTACTATGGTACCTTATGGGTTTTTGCTGGAAGCATTTTCTTAATAAATCGCTTGCAGATAATGGTCATCTCAGAGTGTGACTCTGGGGATCGTGACTTAAGACATTGCTATTTCTTTTCACAGATGAGAAAACAGGCTCAGATTATCTTAAATTGCCAAAAGTCACACTACCAATGAAGAGATGAAGTTGTTATTTGATCCATGTCTGTGTAACTTTAAAGCTCTTACTCCTAATGCTGTTACATTTAAAGTCCCTAATACCAATTATTTTTAAATTAACTAACTGAACAGAAGTGGATGCAAAACTCAGCACTTGATTGATCAACAGACATAAAAAGTCTATCCATAT